TGTCACATGACAAACATTGTTCATTTTCTTTTGACGAAACAGTTTAATGGTGCTGTGAAATTGCTTTCAAACCAAATAAAGTAATTATTATGTGTTGATGTCAATCGCAGAAGTCAGTTGTTCGTGTAATTAGAGACAATTGTTCAACGAGCTAAGGTGAGTGTCTTTGTCTAACAAACTAACATGAAAGAAATGAAAACGTTTCAGAATAATATTTTATGATAATTTAGACGACCAGTTACAGGTCCATTTACGTTGCACCTTTCGTCTAATTTGACACATCTTTACATAAGACTAGAGTTTCTTAATCAATATTTGTAACATGCAACATATGTAAAAACACCCATACTGAGAAATTAAACAACAGACTGGTGACAGCAATTTGTCAGGACAGTAGGTACATTTGGACATTTTAGAATATTTAAGCTACAATATTCAAATCAAAATTTCCTAAAGATGAACTGATTTTCTTTTGTAATGATTGAACTATACAAGGAAATAATTGAACTATTATAAATTATTATAATGATGATTTGCATGTTTTAAAACAATAGGCTGTATGTGCAAATTGTAAGAATGACACAAACACAACTAACAATACAATCTCTGTAATTTCTCTAGACTGTCAAGGGCTATTGACACTTTGTTCCTTTAGACCACAGTAACTACGTTTTAACGAGAATACATTAAAATTGTTCTATGCCACGAGAGCAAATGAAACAAAATATCAAAGTAATGTTTGTCAAAATTTTCATTCTTGGCGCGTAAAGATTTCTTAAAAAGAAAATCCATCTTAAATTTAAAGCAATCACTCTGATTAGAATATATTTATATCGTATGATACAATGTATCATCAAAACCTTCACATTGTTTATTGTTCATGCAACAAGCTGATGAATAGTTAAAAAGCAAGCGGCCTTCTAAAATAAAAATTTAGAATATGACAGCACCTTTTGTGAAAGCATCTGCTTCCAATACTATATTTCTAAAAGCTACAGTGCTTCTCTCTAATATTGCCAGACTCAAACAAACGATATATATATATATATATATATATATATATATATATATATATATATATATATATATATATATATATATATATATATATATATATATATATATATATATATATATATATATTTGTATATATATATATATATATATATATATATATATATATATATATATATATATATATATATATATACATATATATATAAAGAATACAAATCATATGGCGAATAACAACCCTCTCAAGCGTACTGGATCCACCAAGGGATCACGTCTGTCAGGGATTAATTAAAATAGATGCAATAAACTGACGACGAACAGTACGAAACTAGTAACTAACTAGCCTAAGCGCTTTCGACTCTTAATGAGTCTTTTTCAAAGGCAAATACAAAACATAGTTACGACAAACAAATAAACACAAAAACGTTGCGTTTGTAAACCTCTACATTTCTATCTTCACATGTGTTAAAACTATAAATACAACCAGCTTGTGTAGACTAGTTGCGGAAACTGAAAACGTTGTATAATTCCCTAAAAGTCTACAAGCCAAAGCGACATCTATTTTTATTTTGTGTACATATGTAACGCAGATTATATCCCGGATATTTGGTTCTATACCGGTTATTCTTATAGTAAAAATTGAAGGATAAGAAGATTTAGAAAATGTTAAATTCTACTAGTGCATAGTTTTCATTTTCTAGTCTTCTTGGTTTAGACCGCTTGGTTTCAATGTTCTAAGGCGGCGTATCCAGTATGATTCCTTTTCCTTCCTGGTTTCGGAACTCCAGCTGTGGTTGTTGGCAATAGCGATAAGTATTATATCACTGAAAGTGTGGCCAGGGGAGGAGAAGTGTTCTGCGACCGGGCTTCTGTACAGCTTTTTTGTCATCCAATCAGATCTATGAAGGTTTATCCTTATGTGTAGCTTTTCAGTTTCTCCCACGTACTGAAGGCCACAGATCTTACATGTGATGAGATAAATCACATTCTCTGTTTTGCACGTTTTGTTTGGACCATGTATGTTTAGTTTTTCTTTAGTCACTGTGCTAGTGAATGTCTTGGTCTCTATCATATGTTGACAGGTTTTGCATCTTTTATCGCCACAGGGTCCAGATTGACTAGGTTGGTTTTGACTAGCGATTGTTGTTAGCTTGGCCCTGACTAGGATGTCCTTTAGGTTTTTTGGTCTCCGGTAAGCTACTACAGGTTTGTTCGGAAGTATTAGGTTTAGTATGTCTGACGATTGCACGGTTGGCCAGTGGTTTGCGATGATTTTACCTACTTTGGGATTGTCTGGGTGATAGGTCAGAATAAATGGTATCCTATCAACCTTTTCTTTCTGTCCATATCTGAGTAGGTCATCACGGTTTGTTTGTTTGGCCCTTTGGATTGCCTCCGCAATCAGGTCTTTGTCGTAGCCTCGGTAAATTAAATGTTTAGCCAGCTCTTCAGACCTTTCTATGAATCTTTCATCGTCGGAGCAAATTCTGCGTATCCTCAGTGCCTGGCTATATGGAATGTTCTTAATGCAGTGTTTTGGATGACAGCTGGTTGGGAGAAGATACTGGTGTTTGTCGGTTGGTTTCGAGTAGATGTCTGTGTGTAATTTGTTTTCCACCAGTCTGGTTGTTGTGTCCAGGAAAACATGGTTTGAGTTGGAAATTTCTGCCGTGAATTTTATTGAAGGATGGAAGTTGTTTGCCTTTGAAATGAAGTCATCCAGACTTTCTCTTCCATACTGCCACTTCATTTCTATTACTTGCTTCCTTAGACGTCACATCTTTGTACACCAACATACCGCACAACGAAGGGTTACAGGCATGCAGCGAAGCATGGGAAACAAGAACTGTAAACAATCCACCCACACACTTCTTAATCCAACTCCTGGAGCTTGTCCTAAAACTCAACAACTTTGAATTTAATGAAGAAAACTACCTACAAATCAATGGAACTGCAATGGGTACTAAAATGGCCCCTTCGTATGCTAACATTTTCATGGGAAAACTTGAGGGAAAGCTCTTAGCATCGGTTGAGCGTACACCATACCAGTGGGTACGCTTTATCGATGATATAGAAATGAAGTGGCAGTATGGAAGAGAAAGTCTGGATGACTTCATTTCAAAGGCAAACAACTTCCATCCTTCAATAAAATTCACGGCAGAAATTTCCAACTCAAACCATGTTTTCCTGGACACAACAACCAGACTGGTGGAAAACAAATTACACACAGACATCTACTCGAAACCAACCGACAAACACCAGTATCTTCTCCCAACCAGCTGTCATCCAAAACACTGCATTAAGAACATTCCATATAGCCAGGCACTGAGGATACGCAGAATTTGCTCCGACGATGAAAGATTCATAGAAAGGTCTGAAGAGCTGGCTAAACATTTAATTTACCGAGGCTACGACAAAGACCTGATTGCGGAGGCAATCCAAAGGGCCAAACAAACAAACCGTGATGACCTACTCAGATATGGACAGAAAGAAAAGGTTGATAGGATACCATTTATTCTGACCTATCACCCAGACAATCCCAAAGTAGGTAAAATCATCGCAAACCACTGGCCAACCGTGCAATCGTCAGACATACTAAACCTAATACTTCCGAACAAACCTGTAGTAGCTTACCGGAGACCAAAAAACCTAAAGGACATCCTAGTCAGGGCCAAGCTAACAACAATCGCTAGTCAAAACCAACCTAGTCAATCTGGACCCTGTGGCGATAAAAGATGCAAAACCTGTCAACATATGATAGAGACCAAGACATTCACTAGCACAGTGACTAAAGAAAAACTAAACATACATGGTCCAAACAAAACGTGCAAAACAGAGAATGTGATTTATCTCATCACATGTAAGATCTGTGGCCTTCAGTACGTGGGAGAAACTGAAAAGCTACACATAAGGATAAACCTTCATAGATCTGATTGGATGACAAAAAAGCTGTACAGAAGCCCGGTCGCAGAACACTTCTCCTCCCCTGGCCACACTTTCAGTGATATAATACTTATCGCTATTGCCAACAACCACAGCTGGAGTTCCGAAACCAGGAAGGAAAAGGAATCATACTGGATACGCCGCCTTAGAACATTGAAACCAAGCGGTCTAAACCAAGAAGACTAGAAAATGAAAACTATGCACTAGTAGAATTTAACATTTTCTAAATCTTCTTATCCTTCAATTTTTACTATAAGAATAACCGGTATAGAACCAAATATCCGGGATATAATCTGCGTTACATATGTACACAAAATAAAAATAGATGTCGCTTTGGCTTGTAGACTTTTAGGGAATTATACAACGTTTTCAGTTTCCGCAACTAGTCTACACAAGCTGGTTGTATTTATAGTTTTAACACATGTGAAGATAGAAATGTAGAGGTTTACAAACGCAACGTTTTTGTGTTTATTTGTTTGTCGTAACTATGTTTTGTATTTGCCTTTGAAAAAGACTCATTAAGAGTCGAAAGCGCTTAGGCTAGTTAGTTACTAGTTTCGTACTGTTCGTCGTCAGTTTATTGCATCTATATATATATATATATATATATATATATATATATATATATATATATATATATATTGACTGGGTTTCACAAGCTTATAGTAGTAGCAGTTTGTGCCGTCAATATAGCATTAAATGCTTTAGTGTTAGCGAAAAGGGAAAATCCCAACCCTGAATATCTTCAGTTGGGCTATGGCGGGGTCACAATGTGATAAAATCATCCATTGGTGTAACATTGAACAATTAACAAAATGTGATAAAATCATCCATAGGTTTAACATTGCGGGCTGTTATGCGGATTACACAGATTTAGCCATGTTGACAAATGATTGAACCATTTAACAAAATTGAAACCAAATAAAAAGGATCACCATTTTCTCTCATTACCATGGTATAAACACATAAACGTATATAGTCGGCTGTTGATATATTTCTCTTGTATGAATCTGATTTTTTTAAAACGTTTAACTAAATTCAGGGACCGCTCAGGTGGCCTAGTGGTAGAGCGGCCGCCTCTGATGCGGGAGGTCGCGGGTTTGAACCCAGGCCAAGTCATACCAAAGACTTTTAAAAATGGTACTAACAGCTGCCCTCCTTGGATCTCAGCATTAAGAGGTTTGTATATTCCTTTGCAAATTGGTAAGTTGCCGTTTTTGGTTTTGAACTTCTTGTTTCATTCATATTGCTCGTTTCTTTAACGCAGGTATACCAGTTGTTAGTTTCCGCTGCTGCTGGGACGAAACCCAAAAGAAACGCTAGTGATAATTTAAATCCAAGAACCTAGAATCTAGTTGGCAATTTATACATTAATTTGGTTGATTCATGATTAGGTCTTCGACTTTTGTTGGTATCTAATAACAATCTAACCCAAATACCATTTTTGTGTGTAATGATGGTATATTACAGTAAGATCAGGAACCATCAGTAAAGATCAAAATATGTATAGTAACAATATAAATAATAAAAGTTCATTCTGATAGCGCAATACTCTTACGAGGAATGCAGATGAGCATCTTTGCAAATAAAGGGCACTTAAACGTGAAGGTCTCACAAAATTACTAGCTTTATTTTCACGTGTACATTCTAATTCAATTACGTATTAAACTATGAGAATGGTTGATGAAGTTCCTCGCTATTATTACAATATGTATCAGTTTATCTCGCAACGACGACAAGCCAAGCATTACTCTCCTCGTTTACTGATTAATCGTCGTGCTGATTAGAGGCCAAGATATGCCGTGTCTGGTTGTAAATACATTTATTCTATAAACATTCTACTGGAATGTTGAGCAAAGACTTTAGTAGTTTTATCATAGCTGGTTAGATACACATGAGAATAGTACAGGAAGACACAAACTACAAAATCATGGTTAGTTAAGAAAGAAACTGAAAAGAAAGTTTTATTTTCGCATGAATTCATACGTAATTTATTTTTAAAGTTATAAAAGTCTGATCATCGATGACAAATTTTCAACAGTGGAAAAATTCTGTTCTAGGCATTGGCATAACAAAATATGCCATGTTGTAATAAACACAATAGTAACGTTTTTGTGGCAGCAGTTTGCTGATAGTAATACTGTTTCAAAGACAGATCAAAGATGTCACATACGACATTGTTGTATAATACAATGGTGAAATTAAAACATATCTTTCTTGGCTGTACATATTTCATATGTGTTGAAAAGTTTAACCTCATACCTGCTTAAGCAGTATCAACTGAATTGTGATAAACATTATTTTTAATGTAACCAGCTCAAAGCTCGCCTTCACTCAAGATTAGATTACTTTGACTAACAATTGCTGTTGGAAATAAAATTTACAACTACCTGCAGGATCTGTATATGAATTTTCTTCACACATGTTTGTGATCCTGAATATTTGAAAACTATTTACGGCAGTTACATTATGCTCATTGTCATTTATTCTTAAAACTCTTTGGGACTTAAACCTAAGCTTTAATTTAAATCGAAACGTTTCAAAAATATCTGACTTGGTCGTAACAAATTTAAGATTGGCACAGTTTAAGGGTTGCCATTGTTTCCGTTCACAACACAAGATCAGTGACGATTGTAAATTTATGACAGTAAGATATGTCAGCAATCATCGTTGAATGATCTCTATTATGTTTTGAAATTGCATGAAAGTCTTACCTAATGTCAACGCAAGAATCTTGTCAAAGGTGAGATAAAAATTATATATGAAGCCTCAAAAGTCGACAAAGCATTTTGTATCGGTTCTATTGATTTATATAGTTTCCTTTGCTCCAAACATTGTCTTATCGACCATCTGTTCAAGAAATTCAAGTCTAAATTCAGAATCTACCCTTTGTTTACATTTTTGTCAACTGTTCAATATCGTTTAGGAGAGAGTTTTCTGAATTTTCTGGAGCTATCCCTCCTGTGCTTGTAGACAATCGTTGACCTGAGGTCAAATCTTTAACGAGAGTGGTTTTGGGGCTTTCTGAATTTCTCGGTGGAAGAACATGGTGAATACTGATTGGCATTGGAGTGTAAGGGTTAACTGAATCCCTCCCGGCTGTCTCTATCACAGGCTGAGACTTTGTTTTCAAGAATTCAAATGGATCAGCATACAAATGAGACTGACGATCTGACTGGTACACCTCGTTTCTCTCTGACTTTGTAGTTTTCAAGAAATCAAAGGGATCAACGTACAAGTTCGACAAAATAGCCTCACAGTGCGTCTGAGGTTCCCTATGGGGTGCCTTAAGTTCCTCATAGTGTATGTGATGACCCTTAGTGTGTCCATGAAGGTCCTCACTGTGTATGTGAGAATCCTTATATTGTCCCTGAAGGTCCTCATAGTGTATGTGAGGATCCTTATAGTGTTCCAGAAGGTCCTCGTAATGTGCTTGAAGCTCCTTATCTTGTGCCTCTTCTGCGGCATCATAACAAATTGCAATATCTGGAAAGGAAATTCCCATTTTAGCAATGTTTATGTACCCTCACCAAGGATATAAGTTAGCTTATTTGGTACCGACGCACTCGAAATCCAAGAGTCGCGTATCAACACCTGCCCATGAAAAATCGGATCAACTGCTTTAAACCGTCCTTAGGAAAGGGACTAGAGTCCTATTCTCTTGACAATATATAATCAATGATGTGTTACAAATGCCGCTAAATAATATCATAACCATCCTTGTGTAAGTTTAAACATAATAGTTTTATATTGAATTTTTTAAAGACCACGTGGTTATATCAAAAAATATGAAAACATATTATATACTTTAAGCAAAACTATTTTGTCTTTAAGTCTTAATACTTTACTGAACATAAATCATACCCGTATAAATAATATGGACAGTTTATGTTAAATTAAGTACAAGTCTGGGTTTCTTCAAATAAATGGTCATCAAATCCAATGCATTTTGCTTTTGGTAAACTATAATATTTAAATATGCGTGCGTTCTTGTCAATGACATGTACAAAACATTTTGCATATGCACGTATGTGAAAACGAAAGTTGGCATTGGTGATTAAATCATACATTTACTCATCGTACCTTCTCTTTCAAAATTTAGGTCATAACTGAACGCCGTATTTGCAATCGATGTTTGTTCATCTTGAAATGTTTTCCAATGCTCACTTGTTTGGCCCTTTATTCCCGTTACGAGGGACAGGCGCAGGTTTTTGATGCATGATGGGATTGGGACAAAACGTGGATCCATGATTCCTGTGAAGATTAATGATCATACTATTATAATGACGAAGGCGATATTAGCATTTGGTCTTTATCGTCGTCACTATCATTAACCAGGACAGGATAGGCACGACAATGTTCTTCTACAAATTCAAATGACATAAATTATACGCATATCAACGTTTGTGTCATCGAATAAAGACACTTTTTATATTAAGTTACGAAATTACAAAATCGTGAACTATTCATTTGACCTCATTTAAATTTGTTTCTCAAGTTGAATATGTCATTCACAGTTTAAATAAACTGTAAAATCTCCATCATGACGGATTATGAACTTATCAAATTTTGTTTCGTGTTTTTTTTTCTGATTAAGGCAAATAGTTCTGAGTACTAATGGTCCAATAGTGATAAAATGCTCTGAAGTTTTTACATTTACAAAAATAAACCTCTTTCATAACTTTATCATACACGAGTAGTCAATTTGGATTAAAACGTTCAGTTCGAATTACATTTTCAGTTGCGGTAGAGTCTCAATAATTTGAAACGAAGATCAGCAAACTTTGAGACTAAATATCTTTCGAGTCACCCAAAAGCAGCATTATTCAAAAACTTTTTAGCATTCAGATCAAAGGAGCTATGAAGAAATTGTAAAATCAAAGGATTGCTATTGATTGATTCATTGCATGGGTAATATCAATGCTTATACTGGGCCTCTGGAGATGGATATCGAACATAATATTGAGTTGAGAGTTCTGCACTGTTCAGGAGCAGAAAAATAACCTACATAACTTTAAATTTAGGCATTGTGAACTTAGGTGTAAACAAAATATGGCGCTAGTATGTTTCATCGCAAATCATTGTGACTTTAAGAAACGTACAGTTGAAGACAGTAAACAGGTGTATAAAATAGAGTAAACATAAATTACAGTAACGATTCCCGCTCTATGTAAAGAGTTCTTTGACTTCATGTTCATGCAGAGCTGCAAATATGTACCTACCATTATTAATGAAATTCCCAAGCAGGTAAATTTCTTCATACGTATGCATGAGTCTGAGTGAGGGAAAGCGGTTGGAATTGAATGTCCTTGACCCGACGATGACATTGTGATCCTTGGAAATCTGAACCTCAACAGGAAGCTTCTTTTTCTTGATCAGTTTTCCTATTAGAAACTCTTTTCTGCCTACATGAAAAGAAAAACAATAACATATATATTATTTTAGAAAGAGGGAAGTTCATAAACTGGATAAAAATTGTACCTCGATTTGTAAATGAAATACTGTTGCTAAATGGGTGCGAGTACCTTTGTAATATATATTTAGTATCAAAACAACAAAAGTAACGGAATTATTTTGTTTTCGTTCTACAAAAATGTTCCACCTATTTCGTTAAATAAATGTAATTTTTCTTTGAATCATCTTAATTACATTTAAGCTCTAAATCATTCCCAAATAAAATTTATTTTCATCAACATATGACTTTAATTTTTCCCTGTGCAATTCTTCATTGCTCTATTAATTATTATCTTGTTAATTTACACCACGTAAATAGCTGTGAAAAAAAATATACGTAAGATGTCTCTCAACTATCAAGAGTATCGCCCATTTCCTAATTCCAGGTGTTCTAAAATGGATGTCGTCATTAGCTTTAGTTTTTTTCTGCAACATTTAGTCAATATTGTTCTGGCTGTGTGTCAGTAATAGAATGTCGGTTTTATTCTACACGTATGTACCAAAATATGTAAATAGAACTATATTTTATTGTCTGCAGACTGCATTTTTTGTACAGATATACATGCAGAAAGATACATGCTTGTCTATACACACTCACACACACACACACACACACACACATACATACATACATACATACATATATATATATATATATATATATA